CATTCTGATTTAGCAACATTTTCTCTCCCTCATTTTGTCGCGGTGGTGAGCTACAGATCAAGAGCTACAAGAACTTCCTTTGTTTTTTTTTTTTACAGACTCTGATTCACAAATATCATATGCCATTTTAAGTTTCTTTTGATTTAAATTTTTGTTTACACATTTCACACCAGATTATCAGTTGTATACTTTTACTAATCCACTGCAGGTATTTTACACTAAGTATTCCTAAAAGTCTTTTATAAAACAGTTAAATTGAGTCTGCCAGTGGGTAAGTATCATTGTTTTTTACTTGTTTGCTTCTTTCATGTTACTAATATCTGTCATTCTTGGGTATTAATTAATTCAGGTCTCAACAGAGAATGTGTTAAATGATAGCTTTGGGAGAAAATAATTTCTGTAAAACTATGGCATGTCTTCATTTCATAAAAAAATAATGTGGGGTGTGAATCTGGATCTCCTTTGTGTTTCTTTCATGTAGGAAGTTCCTTTTTATTTTATTTTGCCAACTGCGTAGCCTCTTTATCAAATTAGTTAACTGCATAAGTCATCATTTTCTCACTATTTTGAAGTGCTTGTTCAACATATGAATACATTATTTGGCTTTTTTAGTTACTGATAAATTTCTGTGCAGAAAGGTGTTGACAATATATACATTTTCTAGAGGCTGATGTGAATGATGCCTGCTTTCCTATTCTGCATATTGTTCAACTTTTGTAATTGTATTTTGTTTGTAAATATTTGATATTATAGCTGAAAATGATACATCATTAATATTTTTATTTTCATTTCTTTGGTTAGCAGTGAAATATATCTTTTCAGATGCTTACCTATGATGAAATTGTATTATAAAAAGAATGTATTTATATTCAAATTCTTCTTTCTCTGTGTGTGACTAAATTTATAATTATTTATCTGTACTTTCTTTTTATTCTCTTAGTCTTGGCTTACCTTTAACATTTTGGTTTTGAAGTTCGAGTATATGATATGAAATTAGTAATGTCCATATGTAATGCTCCCATTTGGAACCAGTTTTCCATCTGATTCTATCCCCATGCCCATCTTATTATCTGTTCTCAAACCAATGATTCATTCCTTCTCATACAAAAGTTACATAATTATTACAAATTGTTGAATTGCAACGTTCTCATCCTGTTATTAAATTAACTGTTATATCTGCTGGTGGGTATATGAACTGAACAAACACTTTTAGGAAAGCAATTTGACATAATGTAAAAAACAAAACAAACAAAACAAACACTTAATTTTTTTTATTTATATATTTATTTTAGGAAAAATAGTCCTAAGAAATAGTCATGGATGTAAAAAGTGTTATGTACAAGGTGGTTATTTGATATTTTAAAATATTTTAGATTTCACATTTAACAAGATTTTAACTTGTACTTTAGTTTTCAATGAGGTACAAAGTAATGCAAACCTTTCAAAACTCTACCTACACATAACCCAATAAACACAGTATATTACAACTCTATTGCCTTGCTTTGTGCCTCAAAAATATTCTTTTTAAATTTTTTTTTATTTTTTAGTTTTCGGCGGACACAACATCTTTGTATGTGGTGCTGAGGATCGAACCCAGGCCGCACGCATGCCAGGTGAGCGTACTACCGCTTGAGCCACATCCCCAGCCCTTAAATTTTAATTATTAATTTTTTCCACACTTTTTAAAAATTGTTACATTATGGTTGTACATAATGATGAGATTTGTTGCTATATATTCATATATGCACACCATATGGCAATATAATTTGGTCAGTAGCACTCCCCAGCACTTTCCCTCTCCCTCTCCTGCTAGATTATTCTTTTATCTAAGCTATTGATGTTGCTTCAGTAGATAGATGTACCATAATTTATTCAACAACACTTAATCATGATCACTTTTGTTGAAATATCATTGTACTTTGTTTTTTTTTCTGAAATATTTATCAGAAGAAATAAATAATTGAAAAACCCATGGGTTGTGTATCTTCAAATCTATATTTGACATATCTGTAGGATGAATAATTCAAATTTAAAAGTCATCACTGTTACTTTTAATAAATATTGACAATTTTCTACTTGCAATCACTTGATAATTAAAAATTGTCAATTAAAATATTTAGTGTTATCAAAGGTGAATATTGTTCCATTATTTTAATTTGCATATATTTCTCAGTGAAAATCTTATGCTTATGTTGTATTTTGTGAGTACCTGCCTAATTCCCTCATTTTTGATATTCATTGAGGTTTTCTCATTAATTTAAATGGTTTGTGTTTCCCTCTGTGTGTGTTAAATAACAGATATATTTAGCTAAAAAACTATATTAGGCAAGCAACTCCAGAATTACACAGTTATATTTAAATGTTAATTTCTCAAGCTTCTGAGATAAATCTGTTTTTCCTAATAAATATAGAATCCATTAAATAATACATGTTTAAATAATAGGCTATATATATATATATATACATATATATATATATACATATATATATATATATACCTATATATATGTATATATACATATATATATATATACCTATATATATATGTATAATTTAAAATAAAGTGAAAAATTTAAATTTTTAATTTTCCCGATCTTGTTAAATGAAGGTAGAATTATTCCTCTGAATAATGAAGATGGGAAGTTCACAGAGAAATTTAGATTTGCCTTTCCTCTTGTATTACCCTATAATATCGGACCTAAATGCTTTAATATCAGAGTGAATACATTATTCATTGACTTAATGATGCACTTTACTCTTATTTACATTTTTGTTTCATAGATCTTAAAGAACGAATGAAGCAAGTTATCAAGATTAACTGAAGTTATCCAGGCATTTTCAGATTTTAAAAAATGCCTCAGAATAAACAAAATGAATGTATACTAAACAAAGAAGAGATAAATTACACAGAAATAATTTTTTTCAAATCTCAACAGAAGAGAAGACCCAAGGAAAAGCAGGATTCTGTAATATCAAATGAAGAGACTGTAAACTATGTGCCACTGAAAATCAACAGAACTTCTCAACTCAAACACAAAAAATTGTTTGTTAGAGAAAAAAAAGGTAAAGTGCTATATAAGTATTTTGTTTAAAAGATATATCTTGATTCTTGGGTTTGGAAGATTACCCCTCTCAAAACCATTATCAAATTTTCACATTTTCTGTACAATAATTATCTATCTAAAAAGCAACTTCCTGAGCTTTTTCAGAATACTTTGTAGAATAGATTATCTCTTAAATAGTATATGTTCATTTCTGTAAAACATTGACCCAGATTCCAACATAATTGTACTATTTTTAAGAAGTATATGCTTAATAGAATGGAAGCTTTGAAATTCTGTTTCTTCCTATACTATATTAAAATTATCATTGATGCTATTTTTTAATTCAATTCAGCCTAAATTCAGTACCATAAATATTTGTTGAACTTTTACTATTGGCCTGCTCTTGGCTGGACATGCAACCTAAAAAGATAAAGGAGCAATAACTACAAGAATTTTAAAAAATGACATGTTATTGTCACAGGAATGACAGATTATATAAAGTGAATGTTAACAATATTTTGAAAATAAAATTTAAAAGACTTCATAATTAATGAGATAATGGAGTTAAAGGGGAGAAATTAAAAGTTGTTTCAAAATATTTTAACAGGGTTCTTAGTTTAAGTGATTGGTAGTAATTTTCTGTATCATTAGAAAAACAGGCTATCACTAGTGACTAATCTAGTTAAAGTCAGATAATATATGGCATTCTAATTTCTCTTGGTATTTCAGAGAAAAATGTGTAAAAAGAAATTGGATGTAAAGGCTAGATCTCTAGACAGAGACTGGGACAGGTGTGGAAGAGTGGGATGTAAGTATGTTAGATTGCAGATGAAAAATATAAGAAGGAAACATCTGTCAGAGAGATGTTTATATGTTATAGGTAAGACTTGAGCATAGGAAAATTCAAGACAAATATGTGAATACATGACCAGAGGGAAGTACAAAAAAAGTGTTCGAAAATAAAAAAAAATGATCAATTAAACCACAAGTGAAAAATTATCTCCTTGAATTTAGCCTGTTCTCCTCCTCTACTGCCCTCTTTGCTTCCTGAATTCCAGAATGACTGTAATTTATTTCATGAAAACTCAAAGCCCAAGAGCATTAGATACTGCCTCTCTAGGTAGAAATTCCCCAACACTCTCATGCTGCAAAATGTTTCCCCAAAATGCAATGCAATGTCACTTTATCAGAGAATATTTCTTTTTTTTAATATATATATATATATTTTTTGAGAGAGAGAATTTTAATATTTATTTTTTAGTTTTCGACGGACACAACATCTTTGTTTGTATGTGGTGCTGAGGACCGAACCTGGGCCGCACATACGCCCGGCGAGCGTGCTACCGCTTGAGCCACATCCCCAGCCCCATCAGATAATATTTCTAGGTCTCCTGCTTTTAGGTGAAACTAGTATGAACATTTCCATATTTGCCATATTTATTTGTTGTCCCCACTCCCAAAAAAGATGTAATTTTTAAATTACTTTCCCCTTGACTGAGATATTGGTTGAATGGTTGAATATTGAAGATCACATGAGATTTAGAAATCATTTTATTTTCATGGCTCGTTTTTATTTGCATGACAGTTGTATTTTCTCTAAGTGCACTTTGTCTTCGAGTTTATTAGCACAGAAAACATGTTTTGGAATTGTCCAGAGTTAATAATTTGTAGAACATCAGGGGTAAAGGAGGCTTTAAGATGCTGGTTTGTTCTTCTTTTTCTAGGGCTTTGAGATATAGTGTGAGGTCATTTATTTGTTGACTTTTTCTTCTTTTAAGGAATGAACTCCATGCAATGAATTTTCCTCTTAGTACTGCTTTCATAGTTTCCCAGAGATTTCGATATGTTGTGTCTATGTTCTCATTTACCTCTAAGAATTTTTTAATCTCCTCCTTAATGTCTTCTGTCACCCATTGTTCATTTAGTAGCATATTGTTTAGTCTCCAGGTGATGGAGAAATTTTTATTTTTTATTTTGTCATTGATTTCCAATTTCATTCGATTATGATCTGATAAAATGCATGGTATCATCTCACTCCAGTCAGAATGGCTGCTATAGTATCTCTACTTTTTTTATATTTGCTAAAAGTTGCTTTGTGGCATATTATATGGTCTATTTTAGAGAAGGATCCATGTACTGTTGAGAAGAAAGTGTATCTCCTTGTAGCAGATGGAACTATTCTATATAAGTTTTTTTCTCAGCAAAAGAAATAATCTGTGAGATGAACAGAGAGCCTACATCCTTGGAGCAAATTTTTACCCCTCACTCATCAGATAGAGCACTAATCTCTAGAGTATATAAAGAACTCAAAAAGCTAAGCACCAAAAAAACAAATAACCCAATCAACAAATGGGCCAAGGACCTGAACAGACTCTTCTCAGAAGATGATGTACAATCAATCAACAAATATATGAAAACATGTTCATTATCTCTAGCAATTAGAGAAATGCAAATCAAAACTACTCTAAGATATCATCTCACTACAGTCAGAATGGCTACTATTATGAAGACAAACAGCAATAATTATTGGCGAGGATGTGGGGGATAAGTTACACTCATATGTTGCTGGTGGGACTGCAAAGTGGTACAGCCAATATGGAAAGTGGTATGGAGATTCCTTGGAAAACTGGGAATGGAACCACCATTTGACCCAGCTATACCTCTCTTTGTTTTATACTCCAAAGACTTAAAAACAGCATACTACAGGGACACAGCAACATTAATGTTTATAGCAGCACAATTCAGAATAGCTAAACTGTGGAGCCAACCTAGATGCCCTTCAGTGGATAAATGGATTAAAAAATGTGGCATATATACACAATGGAATTTTACTCAGCAACAAAAGAGAATAAAATCATGACATTTGCAGGTAAATGGATGACATTACAGAAGATGATGCTAAGTGAAGTTAGCCAGTCCCCAAAAAACAAATGCTGAATGTTTTCTCTGATATAAAGAAGCTGACTCATAGTGGGGTAGGGATGGGGAACTTGGGAGGATTAGATGGATTCTAGATAGGGCAGAGGGGTGGGAGGGAAAGGGAGGGGATAGGTGATTAGCAAGGAATGTGGAATGTGATGGACATCATTATCCAAAGTACATGGATGAAGACATGAATTGTTGTCAACCTAACTAGAGATATGAAAAATTGTGCTGTATACATGTAATAAGAATTGTAATGCATTCTGCTGTCATTTATTTTTTTTAAAATCAATAAAAAAAAAAGATGCTGGTGAGGATGGCATTGGTGAAATACCCTGGACTTCAGGCTGGACGAGGGAAAAGTGAATTTTAGAAGGAGCCAGTAGCAGGGAGGGAATTTGGAGAGCCAGGAGGTGGGGTTCTTAGTGCAGTTGAAAAATTGTTGATTTCATGATGACCACATTGAAGCATTAGAAAATGTGAAGCTGCCCTCCAAGAGTGAGAAGTAATGATCTTTGGTTTTTGTATTTGCTGCTCTTGGAAAAGAGAAGACTCAATCATTGTTTTCCTTTCTTTTATTTTTAGACCCTGAATCTACAGCGTGGCTGGTGATAGCTGGCATCCTAGTGGTCTTGTGTATGGTTTTGCTGACAACAGTGGGTGTGTTGCTTTCAAACTGTAAGTAATTAAGTAAATATTTGTTCTCGTTGCAACTAAAATATCAGCAATATGATGTATGTATATGTGTGTGTATCTATATACATATATAAATATATTCACCATTAAGAATGAATTTTACATTATCTTAATAATTATATTCTAAATAGTATTAATTACTATCATAATTTTTTGTCACAGTACTTTCTAGAAGAGAAGAGCAAAACAGAAAAGTTTCTACCACATCTTCTAAAGACAATGGTGAGTATTAACTCTGGCCAGGCCACTTCCAATATTTTTCTTTATTGGGGCAAAGTTTATATCTTCTTAAAACTTAACTTCAGTGAATCATGATAGACAAATTTGGATTTATCATATGATCATCTGTATTTGCAAAATACTAGGTAAAATAAGGAAAATGACATAGAAGAATGTGGAAAGGCTCAAAGTATTATAAATAATAAATGAGTTGTATTATCTGTGATTTTATTATTAGGAGAAAAGGTTAATTTAAGTACATGTTGAATAACAAGTATGAACCATTCATATTACTTGTGTTTTTGTTTTTATTCACTTAGTTTGAAAATAAAAAGAAATCAATTGAACAGAAATGAATCATAGGGAAACATAAATTAAATCCCAATTTATAATCACTACAGAAAAGATTGGCAATACCAAATAGGATGCAGGATGAAGTTCTAGCTCACATGCCCAGCATTCTACTCTTAGACATTTGAATAAAGAAAATGAAAACTATGTACATAAGAGACTTGTACACAAATGTTTGTAGGTATTTTATTCAAAACAACTCCAAACTAAACATTCAAAATATCCATTATAGACAAATTGTTTTTAATCATATGATGATATTATCAAATAGGGACCCACTGCCCAAAGCACATAGCAAACAATATTATGGCACTAGATTTCTGCAAAAAGAAAAATTTTATTGTGCAACCAACCAGCAAAGAGGCCAGAAGCTCTTAAGTTCAGATTGGCCTCTCAGGTGAGTTGGTTGTCAGGGGAATTCACACGGAGGAAGAGAGGACAAGTTGCTTGTTGATTGGAGGTCATGTCTCTTCACAGCTCAAAAGTTTCTTTTTGGGGGAGGAATTCATGTTCTACACAAGGGATTTTGAGCTTGTGACATTTTTGACTGAAAGATTAGGGTTTTTGTTTGTTTGTTTGTTTGTTTGCTGTTGTGTTGATGTCCATTTTTAAAAAGCCAGTTTCAAACTCTTAAGAGTCATTAAGGGAAAGGTTGGTGGTTTTTCATTGTAGATAATTTAAGAACTTCTTTTTAGTTTTATTTTATATTTTGGTTCTTTTCAGTTATATAAGACAGTAGAATCCACTTGACATAATTATAAAATAACTGAACTTTTTTAATTAAATGAGTTATGTTTGGGTCTGTCTAGGCCTTAACCAATTTCAATGGATGAATACCTAGAAATAAAATAGAATGAAATATTTCTACATACAACATGGAAAATCTGAAAAAACATTGAGTGAAATAAATTGGTCTAAATAGTTCAAAATTATTAAATCTTATTCATTTGTCAAAACTCTTCAAACTACATACTTTAAATCACTGAATTTTATTTTATGTAAATTATACCTCTATAATATTAATTTTAAAACTGCACAGAAGGAAATAATTAATAACAATGATTTTCTGTCCAATTTTTCCTTCTTTCTTAATCTTTAGTCTTGCTCCCAATAGGCAAATGCCATTAACTCTTCAAGCTTTTCCTTACTACTTTCACATTTCAAAATAATGTGTTCTTACTACTACATATTGAGTTATGCGTTTTAGATGGTAAGCATTGTTTTCTTATTATGATCATAATGAAACCGAACTTTTTCAGCTTCTCCTGGGGTCTGCATAAACTGAGGCCTCTGTGGCAGAATAGTGTTGTACCTCTTAATGACGGGTTATGCCTTCCAGGGTTGTAGCAAACCCCAGCTCACTGCCAGTTTCTTCTTTCTGAGTTCTTGTCTCACTAGTTGAAAAATTAAATCCAGAAATCCATAGATGAGGATGAGTGGGTGTAAGAGAAGAATTTATTCATGTGTGAAGAGAAGAGATGAAACCTTACAGGGTGAGAAGGGATGGGATAGCTGAGTGTACTAGTTTAGAGGTTTATATATGGTAACAAAGTTATTGGTACAAATTTATGCTAATCAGGATTCAGAAAAGTACTATTGATTCAAAGTTATGCTAATCAGAATTTAGAAAAGTACCAAGGCTATTGTTTAGCCCTGCAATCCCATTGGGTCTGCCCCACTTCTGCTTTCCTACTGCAGGTCTGCAACCCCAGCTTTCTAGGAGGTTGAGGTTAGTAGATGGTGCATGCTTCAGGGTCTAGAGCTGCAGCCTGTGTGGAGTGGGCTTCTGCACCAGGTCAAGGCCAGCCTTGCTGCAACAGAATGGGGTGCCCCGGTTTGCCTCAGATCTGGCTTGCCAGTCTCAGGCCCTCAGGCCCTCTGGGGCATGGCAGGCTCTAGGGGGCTGTGCCACCTGTATTCCAGCCTGCCTGGACTGCCTCTCCACTACCTCACTGCAGTTTTTCTGAAGCCTCTCTGGGGAGATTATTGGGTTTGGCTGTGCTGATAGGCAGCCAGGGAGCCATCTCAATAAGAACATAGTGGACGTAGTTCCCCAGTCTTCTCTCTACTTTATCCTCCACATGTATCATAATCATATGATGACATTCCTCCTAAATCCCTTTTGTCTCCGTCTCATCAGGATTAACTGCACACAATTATAGGGGATTTATTTCCTTATAACTCTGTTTGTACCCTGCAAAGATTCCAGTTCTTATTTATTTATTTATTTATTTATTTTACTTAAAGGATTAGTGAACTATTTTTTTTTCTTCTTGAGGACAAACATAATGACTCCCTAAAATTGTTTCATGAAACTTATATTTCAGGCTTTGAATATAATTTAAATGATTTCTATTTTTCTTTCTACTTAATTAATACTGAGAATTATTTGATGAAACTATATTTTGTAGCTGGGTGTGGTAGTACATGCCTGTAGTCCCAGCAACTCCTGAGGCTGAGGCAGGAGGATCACATGTTGAAGGCCAGCCTTGGCAATGTAGTTAGGTCCTAAGCAATTTAGCCAGGCCCTGCTACAAAATAAAAAAATAAAAAGAACTGAGGATGTAGCTCAGTGTTTAAGCACCCCTGGGTTCAATCCCAAGTACCAAAAACAAGACAAAAAATATTTTGTAAAGTATTATTTCATTTTTTTCCTTCAATGAAAGTATTGACCCATATTATATCATTAGATTTCAGATTCCTTGAGACAAATTTTATATTGCTTTTTAAAATTACTTTATTTTCTTTTTCATAAAGGTTTTTTGAAATTGTGCAACTATATGCCTTCTTGTGGAATTCATTTGTTCATTTATTGTTTTGTATTTAATTCACTGGACACTCAATTAATTCTTATAATTTGGAATTCTATCACTTCTAATTATTATTTCAATATTTGGAGTTGAGACATTAATTTGATTTGTGTACTTTTTAAAAATTTATGGAATAATTGTTAAATACCTTACTGGTTAATTACAGATATTTCTTAAATACCCTGCTATTTGGATTTTTTATTTTTCCACTTTCATTTTCAGATTCTCTTTCTGAAATGTTATCAGTTATTCCATGTTTTACTTTCTGTGTTTGTTTTTGCTCTATTTTGCTTTTCTCCATGGATTAACTTCGAATTCTCCTGTATTTAAATTATCCTATTTTCACTTTTTGATCTTTATAGATCTTATATATATATATATATATATATATATATATATATATATATATATATATTTTTTTTTTTTTTTTTTTTTTAAACAGAGCCTAATTTTGTTAAGGGATCCAAAATATTTTATTTATAGAGGTTTTGTTCTGGGTGTTTATTTTGCCTTTATATTTTTATTTGAAGTGGTTCTGTTTTCAATTTAATGTATTTTTTCTGTGTTGGAGACTTAACATCAGACATCTTTTTATCACCTACTGCTTAGAAACAGAAAGCATTAAAAAAGCATTAAAAAGCTGAGTGACATTCTGTTTGAGGAATAGGGAACTCAGGTTACTCTGGAACTCCATGTTACTTTCCAAAAATTGTAATACCCAGAGGAGAGTTTTAGTTTACTTTTCCCTCTACAGATTATTAACTCTATCTGCTGTTGTTTTAGAGAAAAGTTTTGAGGTAGGGTTAGGTTATATATATATTTGGGGGGTGTTAATGGGGTTTGAACTCAGGGGCATTCAACCACTGAGTCACATCCCCAGCCCTATTTTGTATTTTATTTAAAGACAGGGTCTCACTGAGTTGTTTAGCACCTTGCTTTTGCTGAGGCTGGCTTTGAACTTGCGATTCTCCTGTTTCAGCCTCCTAAATCACTGAGATTACAGGCGTGAGCCACCGCACCTGGCCCTTTATATTTTTTTGAGACAGGGTTTCCCTAACTTGTGATCCTCCTGCCTCAGCCTCTGAGCAGCTAGAATTACAGGCATGTGCTACTACACCTGGAGAAATCTTGTTTCTTAATAGCTGACCCTTTGTATTTTCATCTCTCTCATGAATTAATGCTCTCTTAGTTATTTTATTTCTTATAGAAATTTATTTAAACATTTTCTTGTCTTTTCTCTCTGCTCATGTTCTTTCCAGTCATTCTGTCCTTTCATTTTTTCTTCCTCACCTTTATGTTTCTTTTCATTTCTTATTCCTTTACTGCTCTCGTTGTACTTCTAACCTTGATAGTAGAACAAGTCAAGCTCTAAGAGCCTAGGAGAGTGAAGGTTGCTTTGAGGAGTTAGGAGCCAGGGCTCCTGTTCCGATCTCTTCCTAAGGGCTGCAGTTCACCAGCTCAGGCATCCATATTTACATTTAATGAAACCCAGCTTCCCTTTATCTCCTGCCTAGCTTCAAAGGTCTAGATAGACAAAGTTTCTTAAAAATCCAATATCTTTTTGGATTTTTATCTAGATTTCTAGTTTTTAAAAAAGGTCATCAAGGTCCAAAATAGCTATATCTTGAAATCAGTGAGGTGTACTGACATCAAAGCTATCACTAGCTGGAAGTATTTTTAATCTTAACAATGGTGTTGCCAACATTAAACAGCTGCAAGACAAAGGATGAGGCTTTAATTTGAGCAAGAGAGTTGAAAATTAGATTATTGTGTAATACTTGGAAATATCAAGAACTTTTTTTCTGTATTGGCTCTAGTTGAAAATAAAGACTTCTCTGTCATTTCTCAGTTAGGCAGTCTTAGAATTTACAGTCACATTGCCTATCTGATTCTGGATTGGTAGTGATACCACTGATGATGAGATTCAATCACAGTCAAGTTTCATTTCTCCAGATGTTAATTTTGAATATCTGAGAAACACTGAGGCAAATGTAGAAAGCAATTTTTATTTATAGATTAGAATGGAAACAGACTTCTCCACAGAAATGGGGGTCCCAGATCTGGATATTCAAGGATGTGGGGATGTCTCACCCCTTTTATACTTTTTAGATCTCCTTTGTTCTCATGCCATCTTTCTCCCTTTATCTTGCTTACGTGACCAAAAGGTGGGCCAAAGATGGAGTGATTCTGGGCAGGAAGGGAACAGTCCAGGAGGTATTAATCAACAACTCCTTATAGGGAGGAACAATTCTCTGGGGGCAGTTACCTGGGCAACAGGTGAAGGAGGAGGGGGAAGGGCTTTGGAGATATCAGCCTTTGATTTCTTTTCCTTTTGAACTAGTTCCCATATCCCCTATCAGACCCAATTATTTATTATATAAACTGACTGCCTTTTGTCCCCCTGGCTTTAGTAGTATTCCAGGCTGCTAAACAAGAGCTGAAATAACAAACAAAATAATTAAGTGCTAATACATTTAGCTAATGTAATAATCAAGGAATATAACCACAGATTTTTCAAATATTAGCAGTGGAATTAAAGACACACAAAAGACTGAATGAGAAATTTCCTATTTTTAGGAAAGGACCAAACATAAACCTAGTGTTTGCCTCAGGTTTTAAGAATTGAGCATAAAATTAGTTGTGATGGCTCATGTCTGTAATCCCCATGGTTTGGGAGGCTGAGGAAGGAGGATCACAAGTTCAAAGTCAGCCTTGGCAATCTAGTGAGGTCCTAAGCAACTTAGTGAGATCCTGTCTCTAAATAAAATATTTAAAAGGCCTGGGTTTGTGGCTCAGTGGTTAAGCACCCCTGGGTTCAGTTCCTGGTACCAAAAAAAAAAAAAAAGAAAGAAAGAAAGAAATTGAACCTAAAGCAATAAATACCATGAGTAAGCTTTATGTTTGGGAGATAAACATCCAGTCAAGGAGGGGAGTGAAGGAGGAGCATGAAAAGAGCAGTAATAAAGCAATATGTATTGGTGCCAATTATCTAACAATAGCAGCAAAGTGTCACAACAAATGGCTTAGCAAGTGTTTTTATTCAGCACACTAAAAAGTCTGGGAAAGCCTGCAAGGGTACCTGGCACATTTGAGTAATCCAAGGGATGGAGAAAGGAAATAGGAAAAATAATAACTCATCAGAAGAAGATATGGGTAAAAGATATGAGTGAAATGACCATAAAAGAAAAAAGTACAAATATAAATTATTATATGATTGATGCTAAGTTCATAGGCAATTATGAATGTTTTCATTATATAATGGTTAACAGTGGCCTTATTATATTAGTCTTATTAATGTTGATTTACTTGATCTACTTTTCCTGACATATATTATCTACAACATATATATGAAGATGTTAGTATTAACTCAATAAATTGACAAAAATATAAAATAATACAATTTATGTCTCTCTCTCTCTCTCTCTCTCTATATATATATATATATATATATATATATATATTGAAATAACCTTGATGAGATGGATACAGACCAACATCTCTCCTCAGAGAGAGAGAGAAGAAAATGCAATCAACTTTCTAAAAGACAAAAAAAAAAAAAATTAAACTGTATTTTGATGGTTATAAGAATTACAAAATGAAGAAGCTATGCAAAAAGTTTATTTATAAATGATTGGAGCATTAGTTTCAAAATTATAGCATTTTTTTGTATATCCAAAATGATTATTAATAAAAAAATTTCCACCAGAATTGGAATCATTAAGTAGTTGGTTTTTATGCTTACATTATATATTGTTTAGCCATTTAAATATGTGTACCTCATTTTAATCATGTCAAATATGCTTATAATATTATTTGATATGTAGTTTTCTTATAATCCATATTTTATATTATTTTCATATGGAAATTTCAAAATAAGCAAAATTTCTTATTTATTTATCATGGTTAGCTATGGATTGTGCAAAGATTGCTAAAAAATGGTACAAAAGTGCTTACAGTGGGGATGCAGCTCCCTGGTAGAGCACTTGCCTTGATGATGAAGCCATGGGTTCTATCTCTACCTGTTATGGTTTGGATGTGAGGTGTCTTCCAAAAGCTCACATGTGAGACAATGTAAGAAGAAGGTTCAGGGGAGAAATGATTGGGTTGTGAGAGTCTTAATCCAATCAGTGAATTAATTCCCTGATAGAGATTAACTGAGTGGTAACTGAAGTGGTAGGTTGTGGAGGAAGTGGAAATTGGGCATGGCTTTCAGGTATATATTTGTATTTGGCAAGGGTAGTTTCTCTGTTTCTTCTTCCGGATCTTGATGTGAGATGAATTTTTCTGCCACACTCTCCTGCCATGATGTTCAGTTTCACTTTGAGTCACATTGGGTAGAGCCAGACTTATGGACTGAGACCTCTGAAACTGTGAACCCTCAAATAAACTTTCTCTCCTTTAAAATTGTTCTGGTCAGATCTTTTAGTCACAGCAGCAAAAAAGCTGACTAAAATACCAGCACAGTCTAATATTCATCTGTATTACAAACACATGAACTTTATAGTTGTATAAAAAGTTACTCATAGACTTGATTACCCATTTAATATGCTTATATTTCCTAGAATGTTCCTGTGATCTTAGTTCTCACAATGGGATTGGGTTTGGAAATAGTTACTATCATGTTTCCAATGAAACCAAAACCTGGCCTAAAAGTTATACTGCCTGTGTAGAACTGAATTCTCGTCTTCTGAAGATACAGACCCAAGAATTGCTGGTAGGGAAGACAATCTTACTTTTCTTTCACATTGTAACCATATTTGGTTTTGAAGTATTAGTGATGAACACTATAATTTGGCAAATTGAATGTTCTCAAGGATGCATTATATTTTATTTCAAATTTGTTTTCTCAAGGAAAAATTAGAGAAACTCTATCACTAGAATATGTAACACTGCAAGAAAACCAAACTAATCAAGTAGTACTATCTTGAGGTGGGGCCTATTAATACTATGTGAATGTGTGCAAGCTCTTGGGAGAACTTTTACCACTAATTACTGAGTTAGGAAGGAACACATGGTAATATATGAACATTTATGGATTATGAAATGTTTTTCCAATAGGATCTCTTATCAACATTTGGAATGTCGGGATGGATAGATCATAAAATGTGTGAAATTGATTGGTTCCCGTTAATGAAAAATTGTACCAAAATGAATGAAAGTCAGTAAGTATAATGTTTGGATAAATTGGACTGTTTGAGAGTAGTTTGTGTGTGTGTGTGTGTGTGTGTGTGTGTTTACTTATGACCTGCAACATATGGGAGATAATTGGGAAAAAGTTGCTAGCCCTTTCTAAGTAATGTCACATTTTGGAACATTGTTAACCTACTAGATTTAGAAAATTTGCGCATAGTTTTAGATAAGTTTAGAAATGTATAAACCTATCTCATGTTCTTTTATTTGTTTTTGATTCATAATTTTAATTACATAAACAGGATAGGATTAGATAGTGCTTAATATTTTTCATGAGGCTTACTGTTAGGTAAGACTTGTGAAGACTATTAATCAGTGGGGTGTTTTTTCTTTTTTTGATATATTATTATTTTATTAGTCATATGGATTCAGCTTAATATTGTATTCAAGATTTTGGCATGCATGGATTAAACCCATTTATTTCCATTTTTGAGTGTTATATTGATAGACTTTGGTACTGAGATTCTGGTAGCTTACTCAAACAATTGGAATAGATTTCTTTTTTTTTAAAGCAGTAGCACATTTTATTAAAATTTAATATTATTTTTTCTTATATCAGTTTATTTGTTGTTTTATTTGCTTTTTAAAATTCTTTTAGGTTTGTAATTATTTTTGCTAAGTTTGTTGAGATAAAATTAGTATTTGTATACACCATACCTTGATTTTTTTACCCATTTAATTTATCCTATATGTTTTGATATGTACAAGGTATACATCACATAGTACCTCATAAATATGTATACTTTTTATGTTCTTAAACCTTTTTTCTTCTGAAATAGTTAGTTTGGCATGGTGCTGCATGCCTATAATCTCAGCAACTTGGGAGCCTGAGGCAGGAGGATCCTGAGTTCAAAGCCAGCTTCAACAATTTAGTGAGGCCCTAAGCAACTTAGCAAGACCCTGTTTCAAAATAAAGCATAAAAAGGACCGGGGATGTGGCTCAGTGGTAAAGTTCCCCTAGGATCAATCCTTGCTACCAAAAAAAAAAAAAAAAAAAAAACAGGGAAAGGACCTAACTGTGAAGAGCCTTGGTTTCAGGTATGTAAACATTAGTGGAGCCCAGGGGACAGAAAGAGTCTTTTGGGTCCAGAGTTGGGAATGTTCCTGAAGGAGGCAGCAGATAACTTGGACTCTCATTTGTTCCATTTGTTTATTGTCTACTCAGCCTTTCTCAAAATATCTCCTATGGACAAGGGAAACTGCCATATTCTCAGCATGTTCCACCTTTTCCCCACTCAGAGTTCTCGGTGCAGAGCAGGTATAAAGCACAAAGAGAAGACTGCTGAAGCCTCCAGTCAATTCAGATTGGCCTGAGTTGAGGCTTTCCTGTTTGTGTGATTGGTTCTTCTGAATTTAAAGGAGACCCTCCTTTCTTTCTTTCTTTGAACCGGGGAATGAACTCAGAGGTGTTTCAACACTGAGCTACATCCGCAGTCCTTATTCTACTTTTTATTTTGAGACAGGATCTCACTAAAATTTCCCAGGCTGGCCTTGAACTTGGGATCCTCCTGCCCAGCCTTCAGAGTAGCTGATATTACAAGTCTGCATCACCATGCCCAGTGTAAAAAAGTATATATTTTTTCTTTTCTTTTTCTTTTACTTTGTTCTTTTTAGTTATACATGACTGTAGAATGGATTTTGACATATCATACAAACATGGAGTATAACTTCCCATTCTTGTGGTTGTACAACTTGATTTTTAAAAGCTGTTGTTATTTCTACAGAGTTCAATTGATGAAAAAGAAGAACAAGAATTGTGCTTATATCAGTGGAAAGTACATTTATCCTGAAAACTGTTCATCTAGGAAATTTTACATATGTGAGTTTAATATACAGCAACATCTGCTTTACTAACACAATATTATTAAATCCTAATAAAATATTTACAAAATACATTGGTTACTTGTTGACTTTATAATTTTTAAAATAAATTATGGCTGACTAATTTTATGCACTCTGAAGATTTTGGTTAAATTTTTAGCTTTTTAAATTGTACTGGGGTTGAGGAGAATTTAAACATCTTGGTATTAATTATCCTATCACAATTCATGTTGATACTAATTAATTAAGTATCAAATAGCAACTATACATTAATCAACTTTGAAAATCCAAGGGATATGATGAGAAGAAATATTTTTGTATCATTTAGTTTTTTTTTTTTTTTAATTTTAAGAGACAGGGTCTTTTACGTTGGTCATTCCATCCTCTTGGTCCAGTTTCCCTAGTAGCTACAACTATAGGCACATACCACTATGCCCAGCTAAACTTAAGGTTTTTGACATGAGATGGATACCTTTTGAGATTGTTCAAGAGATTTAATCAGGTACTACTGAAAGCATTGAGGACATGTATAATTGAAAAACAAGAAATAAAAAATACAATTTAAGGTTAAAGAAGTTAATATACTCAAACGACCTGAAGTGGTAAGCTATTACTATTGCTAAAGAGCAGCTACTATAAATCACTTCAAAAATTTAAAAGCAAATAGTAAATCTTACAGAGAAAATAAAACCATGAGAGAAACCAAAATAAAATGCTAGAACTAAGAGATTAGTAAATAAAATGAAAATTTTAAATATTCTATATATTTAAATAAATAGAGGCTAAATTTTTCAAATTGTAGTTTAAAGAATATAATTTACATAGAAACATAAGATGCTTGGCAATTCTCAGGAACTTAAAAAATGGAAAACCAAAACTGGGGACATCATCATCAAAGTAATAAAAATTAAAAATGAAGAAAATATATTGAATACTGTCATAGAAAAATCATATTCAATGGAATAATGATATAGGAAATTGACTTTTTTAAAAATCAGAAACAGTGGAGATGGATAGGCACTAGAACACTCTAAAGGTAAAAACAAAGTCTCAAAAACCTACCAAGCCTTCTGATTTCTGGTCCAACCTTGTTGAGAGCTGCAGCCGAAGGGGCCCCAGCAAACTTCCAGCTGATTGGCTCCTCTGTGGTGATGCTCATTGGGCTATTTCCCCCGCCCTTTCAGACCAGGGAGCTGCTCATTGGGGGCCTCTTTTGGCTCCGCCCACTTGACCCAGCCAATCTGCCTCAATAGCGGGAAAATTGAAAATGACCTAAAGGTTCCAGTTGAGAGTGCTAGCCAGAAGTGCCTGTGGTGGCGGTTGAGCTCTCGGAATTCCTGGAGCGCTTGTGTGGTGCAGCCTGTGTGCTAAAAATAAAGTTCGTTCCTGCTTGACAAGTGGGTCATGAATTGTGCCCAGCCAGACTGTGGCATTTGGTGGCCCGTACTGGGAACGAACCTGCGACCTTGGCGTTATCAGCACCAAGCTCTGATGAATCCAATTTTTAAAAGTTTAGAGTAAAAAGGGTTATTTTAAGTTTATCTTTGGGGGATATATACCCCTTCCCAATTCCCTCTTTTTTGCTTTAATAAGTACATTTTAATAGTTTGATGAGCAAAATTGTTTAAAAGAGGTAGAAGTATAACCAGGGGCATTATCTGTTTTTAACTGTTTTGGAATGCCCACAGTGGCAAAATTTTGTAAGCAATGAGCTATAATATCTTTAGTTTTTTCTCCGGCATGAAGGGAGCCCATCAAAAATCCTGAAGAAGTATCAACTGTAACATGCAAATATTTTAATTTTCCAAATTCTGGCAAGTGTGTGATGTCCATCTGCCAAATATGGTTAGGTATCAGTCCTCCAGGATTGACTCCAAGATTAACTTGTGGTAAAAAGGTCACACAATTTTGACATTGTTTTATTATTTGTCTAGCTTGTTCCTTAGTTATTTTAAAACGCTTTTGTAAAGTATTAGCAATGACATGGGACCTTTTATGAAAATTTGAGCTTTTTCTAGTGTAGAGAAAATATGTATGTCATGTGTAGTTTTATCTGCTAAATCATTGCCCAAACTAAGGGCTCCAGGCAATCCTGTATGTGCCCTGATATGTCCTATAAAGAATGGATCTTTTCTGTCCCAGATTAGACTTTGTATAGTGGAAAACAAAGAGAAAACAGTAGAGGAAGGGGAAATCCTACCAGCATCTTCAAGGGATACTATAGCATTAACTATATACTGACTATCAGAAAATAAATTAAATACAGAATCTTTAAACATCACAAAAGCTTGTAATACTGCATTAAGCTCTACCTTTTGAGCTGATTATTTGGGTACTAAAAATGTAAAAGTTTGATCAGGGGTAACTACTGCTGCTGTACCATTATTTGACTCATCAGTGAATATATTTGGAGCATTAATGATAGGTGTTTTTCTTGTCATTTTTGGAAAAACTACAGGATGCGAAGACCAAAAAGACAACAAAGGATTAGATGGTAAGTGGTTATCAAATGAAACATTAGATTTGCACATGATTATTGCCCAAATATTTAACTCATTAGCTAACTCATCAATTTGATCCATAGTGTATGGAGTAATAATTTTATTGGGAGAAATTCCAAACACTCCCTTTGCTGCTTTTATTCCTTTGAGTATTAATTGTCCTACAGCCTCAGGATACCTAGTAAGAATAGTGTTAGGAGAATAAGATAAATGTATCCATAATAATGGACCTTCTTGCCAAAATACTCCTGTAGGAATATTTTTTGTTGGTAGTTCAATAAATAATAAAGGCAAACTTATATCAATTCTATACAAATGCATATTTTCCATATATGTTTCAATGATTGCCCATGTGACCCAGCCAATCTGCCTCAAGAGCGGGAAAATTGAAAATGACCTAAAGGTTCTGGTTGAGAGTGCTCGCAGGAAGTGCCCGTGGTGGCAGTTGAGCTCTCGGGGAATTCCTGGAGAGCTCCTGTGGTGCAGCGTGCATGCTAAAAATAAAGTTCGTTCCTGCTTGACAAGTGGCTTGTGAATTGTGCCCAGCCAGACTGTGGCACTACCTGTAAGGTAGTTAGAATTTGTCATTACCATTCTGATGAGAAGAAAATCCTGAATGGAGTGTCAATCAACAACTTTCCTTAGTTTCTCCAGAAAACTGATCTCACAGAGCTAACCACAATTAGAGAGACAGAGACATGGACATTGCAAATCACATCTTATTGGAGTAGAAGTCTAGAAGAATATCACTGAGTGGTAGGATTGAATGTTTATGTTCCCCTCAAATTCACAGGTTGAAATCCTAATCCCCAGTGTGATAATTAATTAGGTCATGAGGGTGGAACCTTATTAATGAAATTAATGCCCTTTGTAAGAGAGATCCCAGAAAACTCTCTGACCCTTTTTCTGGTATGTCAGGATATAAGAAGTTGGCCTCTGCAGCCCAGAGGAGGCCCCTTAATAGCAAGTAGCCAGCCAGAAAATGGCATCATAATCTCAGACTTAGAGCATTCACAACTGTGAGAAAGACATTTTGCTTGTTGAGAAACTACCTGGTTTATGGCATTTTGTCCCTGGGTTAGGAAAACAGTTATTGATGTAATGCTACACACTCAATGTGGACAAACATTAGACTGAAAACTCAGGGGGACTCAGTCTCAATGGCTGCCCACATTTTGATTATTTTACCTCCAGGATCCTTGTTCTTATGGTGAAGGTTGGTGAATAAACCTTGTGGTATATCTGGCACAGAGGGAAAATTCACTATTTTTAGAAGCATTCAGAGCATTCTGTTTTTTTGTAACAAGTCCTGCTGTCAACAGAAACTATTTTACAAAACCTAATGGTGTGTTTTTAACAGCATATAACCAACCTGGGGAAGGAGTAAGATCAAAATTCAGCCTGCTCTGGTCTTTCAGGAACCAGAAATAGCAGAAATGTTGGAATTTTGAGATTAGGAATTCTGATCCTATGTAAATAGAAGAAGAAGAGGCAACATACAAGAATTATTGGGCAAAGTAAACAGAGGATGTAAACAATAAGAATCAGAAAAAAATTCTGGAAATAAAAAATATTGTACCAGGGGCTGGGGATGTGGCTCAAGCGGTAGCACGCTAGCCTGGCATGCGTGCGGCCCGGGTTCGATCCTCAGCACCACATACAAACAAAGATGTTGTGTCTGCCGATAACTAAAAAATAAATATCAAAAATTCTCTCTCTCTCTCTCTCTTTAAAAAAAAATATTGTACCAAAAAGAAGAAGAATGCGTATAATAGTCCAATAGACTGAAAATGGCTGAGAAAAGAATATGTGAGATGCAATAAGGGTAAATAGAAACTTCTGAAAAGAAAATGTTGAAAGAAAAGAAGAATGAAAAAGTTGAAAGAGAACATCTGAAAATTGTGACATAATTACAAAAGATATGTGCATAATGGGGACTCCTGAAAGAGAAGGGAAAGGAACCAAAGAGGTAATAGTAACTGTTTTCTGAGGTAATAGTGACTGTTTTCCAAATTAAATATATGTATCAGTCCACAGATCTAGGAAGCTCTGAGAATACCTAGCATGATAAAGAAAGAAGCAGGTAAAGAAAGAAAGAGCATAACTCCAACTTTTTAAAAAGATAAATGAAATGACTAATAAGCCTTTAGCTAGGCTAACTTTGGAAAAAAGAGAATAATTTGTAAAATTAAACAGATTGTCAACTTTTAAATTTGTATACATGCTTAAAGTTTGCCTCATATTTAAATAGTAATAAAATGCAACATGGTAAATGGATTTAGGAGCACCTGTAGCATTTAAGTTTGAATTTAAATTCATTATAATTAAAGCTATTTAGAAACACAGTTCTCCAGTTGCATTGAAGTTGTTTTTATTCTCCTTCAGCCTACCACAGAAGAAATCCCCCTAGGAGATGGTGTCTGTGGTCTACCAGCCATGCCACCCTCCCAGGAGGCTGCTCTCTTGGTGCTGGTGATCTTACCCACCACAATAGAATGCTGATCACTGTCACTAGGTGCTTAGTAGGTTAGGAAAGGACTGGGTGGTGTCCCACTCTGAGTCGAGCTTCAG